CCCTGCAGGGCATGGGCTGCCTTCAGTACCCTCCAGATCATCCTCCTGCCTGCGTGACTTAGAGCATGGCGCCAGTCCCATTGCTTGCTTTTATCTTGGAAAGCCTTTCCTGGCTTTGAGAACAAAGGAGGAGGAATCTGCTCCTGGTTAAGATGCTCATCTGGGAAAGGGAAACTGAAACATGAACCAGAAACCTATTTTTTTTCTCTTTTGTTAAGCACTAAAGCACAAAATCCACTTTTCTTTTTTTTTTTTTTTTTTTTTTTTTTTTTTTCCCCCCAGTTAGAACACAGTTGTGGGTATGTGCAGTGGCCTGATGAAGTTCTTTGCTGTAACAGCTCCTCACTCCCTGTTTCTGTGTCGTACCCAATTACTCATCCATGCAAAAAGTCTCCCTGGTTTGCTCTCTCTGTTTAACTTCAGGGTAAGGATAAGCTTCAGTTAAGGGTAAGGGCAGAGCAACGGACATCATCTACCTGGGCTTGTGCAAAGTGTTTGACACTGTCCTGCATGACATCCTGGTCTCTAAATTGGAGAGATGTGGGTTTGATGGGTGGACCAGTTGGTGGATAAGGAGCTGTCTGGGTGGGTGCACTCAAAGGGTTAAGGTCAACGGCTTGATGTCCAAGTTGCGACCAGTGATGAGTGGTGTTCCTCAGGGGTTGGTACTGGGACTGGTGGGGACCTAAAGGGGCTCCAGGAAAGCTGGAGAGGGTCTCTTGATCAGGGAGGGGAGCCCTAGGATGAGGGGGAACAGTTTTAACCTGAAAGAGGGGAGATGGAGCTGAGATGTGGAGAAGAACTTCTTTGGTGTGAGGGTGGTGAGAGCCTGGCCCAGGTTGCCCAGAGAAGCTGTGGCTGCCCCATCCCTGGAGGGGTTCAAGGCCAAGTTGGAGGGGGCTTGGAGCCACCTGGTCTGGTGGGAGGTGTCCCTGTCCAGGGCAGGGGGTGGCACTGGGGGGGCTTTAAGGTCCCTTCCAACCCGAACCATTCTATGAAGCTTATTTGAAGATTTTGGCAGGGACTTTTTGAAGGCCTTTCAGAAAGCTGGGAGGGTGGTACATATGAGTGTATCATAATGTTTTTGCTTGTTGGTCTCTTTAGAGAAATCTGCTTCTTTTGATTTCAAAGGCAAGACTGACACTTGTGAAGAAGACTCACCCAGTAATTATATTTTCTGTTATAGCTTATAATGATCTACTCAGTATGGATATAAGGTTAGCAACCTCTTAGCTTCCTCCCTGACCATTAAAAAATGGCATCAATTTGCCACCACCTGGCTCCTGAGGTGTGTAAGCAAGAGATCAGGTGCCACCTGGTAACCAACTCAGGAACTTCATTCTGGAGTTTCTGAAGGTGCTCTGATGACGTGGTACAGTTCTGTTACCTCCTCCCGTCCGAAACCTACAACTTTGTGTTTGCCCATATGAAAATATAAATGGTTTGCTCCTATCTGCTCTACCTCTGGTCCAGTCGTGATTTGAATGATCCTTTTACCAATTCACAACCCTCGTCTTTTCCTGCAGGATTGAATAGTTTCGCTTTAGTTCGGGTTGTTTAAAAAATGCCTAACAACCCAGGGCCAAGAGTGGTCTGTGCTGGTGCCCCTTGGAAGTGTATTGGGTGGGAAGAGCATCACCTGGCTCAGTGAGGTTCAGGGCTTTGGCAGCTAATCACTCTTAAATCTGTTTAATGTATCTGGTGTTCTTATAATGCTTGGATAGTTTAATTGAAATATTCTGCAATATTCAGTCATTGCTTACATAGATCTAAACACATTGTTATCAGCACCGTTATCTTCTCAACCAAACGTGTCATCTCCTCAGCTGACATTGTGAGTTAATTGCACCAGGTCCTGTTGGTTGTTGGTCTTTCTCCTCTTTGATTTCATACAAAGACTTCCATATCTTGATTCTGTGCTTTGGCTGAGCTTGAGGGAAGCTAATTATTTAGTACCTACACATATCAAAATCATCCTTTAAGCTTTTCATAGTACTTGTTTTCCTCGCTATTTTGGTAGATCCTGCCTTACTTATTCTGCATATATGATCCTTTCTGTGGCACGTATATGAAGTTAGTGGCAAAATATAAATGTATTATGATGATGAGGAGAGAGAAAATGCTGTTCATACTGGATGGTGTGCTTTATCCCCTGCGAACGGGCAGGATGGGATCAGTCCCAAATGCACGGAAGGTGGCTATGAATCCTGTTTTCCAGGAACATATTTAGACAAGCCAGGCAGCAGCAGGTGTAGGTAGGGTTATTTCTGCCGTGTGTAATGGGGCAGAATGACTTCCCAGAGTATTTTCCAAACCTTGTTTTCCATGATCGACTCCTCTGGCTCCTGGAAGGCATCTGGCAGTACGAGGTGGTGTCACAGCAGCTCCAGGTCTGTGGCAACCCCAACGGCTTAATTTCTTCAGTGTCTCTTTGGAAAGAGATGTTGTTGTCACAGTGTCATTGGTTAGAGCAGTTCTGGGAGCTTCCTTAGCGACTTAACATTTGGAGAATGTTACTTTATATATAAGTAGAGGGGCAGGTAACCTCTTACTGTAAAGGTCAGTTTTATTATCCACTATTCTATAAAGGTGCCTTGTTTAATTTCAGGGATTAATGACTCTAAGGGTTCATCTGACTGAACTGCCAAAAAATAATTGCACCTTCTGGTTAGATCTTACATCTTCATTTTTATTTTTTATTAGTGAAACAGGCTTGAACTTGAAGGAGTATTTCAAGCCATTGCTTCCAGAGCCTCATTTGACCCCTACTGTTCCTTTTGGAGATTGCATGCATTAATTTTGAAATCTTAATTTAAAGGAGAGAGTGAGAAGGTCAATAAAGAAATAGCTTTTCAATCCAGGCAGTGCTTGTATGGATACCTCACTGGGAGGGGTGGCAAAGTCTATTGGGCTTTCTCCCAAGTATATTTTTCAAAGAACTGGTTGCCTAGGTCTTTTTGAACAGAATTGATTAATCTTTTCGAACAGAAGATTAATTAGCATCTGTGAAAAAATAAGTTCAGAGTATGTGAGTGAGAAGTTCTTAATGTGCCATCAATGGCAGTAGCCAAATTACAACAATAGTACAGAGGGACCTGTGGCTCACTTGTGCTTGAGTGAGTGTTTCTTCTGCTCTCGGCACCTTTCCCAATGTGCTGGTGCTCCAGAGCTGCAGCCTGTGAGGTGTGACATGGGGCCCTGCACGCTGTATTGGCCAAGTGACATTGCTGAGAGCTGTGCCCATCTGCACCGCACCGTGCAGAACATGGTGTGTTGGGCTCTGTTAAATGCCATCCTTATTTACACGTGGTATCTTCTGGGCTCTCTGAAACACTCGGGTATGACTACCCAGGCATGGGTTTGCAGCTTTTGCCAGCAAACGTTTTGTTTGGAAGTTGTGACCTCAAATGCAAAGCACTTTCCTTTTTCTCCTTTCTAATAAGCTTTAGGAGCATGAAAACCTTTGTCGCTTGTTTTAAATATCCCTGTGACGAGTCCTTGTAAGCCTGTGTGTGTTTGTAGTAAATGTTGCTCTGTGTGTGTCACCAGGGAGACTGCAGCTATGAACTGGAGATTCAGCCTCACTTACGTCTGGAAGATGTTACTGTTGGAAGGAATAAGAGGCATCCTTCTGTGCCCAGCTCCACCGCGGGTCAGAGAGCACGCTCCTCCAGGAGAGACATGGCACACAGATCGAAAGTAACATCATTTTTACCCGATACAAACGAGAGTAGGAGTGAACTCTTTACCACGTTTAAAATGACAAAACCAAAAAAGAGTCCCAAAAGAACTTCTGGACCAAATTTAGAAGTACCTGTGTTGCCTACAGGTACTTCAGCTTCTTGCTCAGCAAGCAGCCTTGCTCTGGGTGAAAATATGGACCAGGGCAGTCCAAAGGATGAGGAACTAGCGGTGACGTTTGACTTAAATGAATTTATTGACCTGTGTGACAACAGTGACAGCACTATAATTGATGAAAGTGCAGCAGCAAAGGAATACAAAACTGGAGGTAAAGCTTGTAGCTCACTGGGAACAAACCACGCAGACTCGGGTTATAGCAGCTTCACAGCTGAGAAGTCACCCATCTCCTCTGACTTATTTTATCTTCCCGAATCATACGTGGATTCATTTGCACTTGTGAGACCATCTGAGGAACCTGCTTGGTTAAAACAAATGGTTTCCCATGTGGAAAGGCTTTTATCCCAGTGTCCTCCCTTTTTGAATAAACTTTATGATTTTGAAAACATGATGAGAAATGAAGAAACACTATATCCTTTTCAAAAAGCTATTTCTGGTAGTTATTCAGAGAGACTGCAGGGCAGAGTCTTTCCTGCGCCCTCAGAAGCTGATCCATCACTGCTGCTCTCAGGAAGTCCTGAACCCAAAGTCTCCAGGGAATTGACTTCTGTAAGTACCTGTTCTTCAAAACCTGCAGCATCTTCTGAGCCTGCTGCTGGTAACGCCAAAGAGGGACTTCACTGCAATGACAGCTTTGGCAGTCTGTTTGACAACAAAGAATTCACTGAAATTCAAAAGACAACTCCAACAATAAGTCATACTCTGACCAATAACACTCTGACCAATAACCCTTCAAATAAGAATTTTGTTCAAAAAGATGAAGAACATCTTGAAGTGAACAAGAATAATGTGATTATTGCTGAAGAGCAGAGTATACATCTGTTTGAAGATGAGCACCTTTATGACGCAAATAATGGGAGTTTTTCTGTGAAAAACAAGCGTTTGGCAGGGCCAGATTCCAGAGGGAGTGGTTTTAGGCTGGTTGCAGAGCGTGGCCCCGAGAGGTCTCCATCAGAGGGGCGCTGTGAGGGCACTGATGGGACCCCCAGGGAGCAGCCAATGGTGGGTGACACCTCTACCATGGGAGCGTGGGGAGATGTCAGCGCGACCCAGCAGGCTCTGGGGAGCGACCATCTCTATGACTGTTCCCAAGAACTCTTTTCTGTGAACTTTGATCTGGGATTTTCCATCGAAGACTGTGAGAATGACATCTCTGAAGAAGATATAAATACTGATAATACCAGAGAATGCGGTGGCGCCTGGGGCAGTCGTGCAGGTGGTACATCCACCGAAGAGAAAACACAATCACTGACCGATACCTCCAGACTCGAAACATCACCCAAGTGGGATTGCAGAAGCCTGGAGAGAAGAGCTGTTTCCACACCCCTGGGGTTCCAGAGGAGCAGTGTTGGTGCCAGAGAGGGGGCTGAGGCTGCTGCTGCTGCAGGGCCTTCCTCGGAGCAGGGAGCCAGGAGAACGGGAAGGGGCTCACCTGAACCTTTGGCTTCTGCACTTTCCACCCCTACAAGCAGAAAGGCTAGGAATAGTGAAGTTATCAGAAGAATTCCTATCAATGTCTTCTCTAGTGCCAGGGAGGAAATTCCCAAGATGACTCTTGCAGAGCATAGCCCACGTGGGCAGAACTTTGGGAGTTCAGCCATGGATGTACTTGGCTCCCCTTTAGGAAGAGCCAAAACCCTGGAAGACACCAACCATCATAGTTCACGTGTGTGTCCTGCTGCAGGTAGGGATTCCAGTGTACAGTTACTTCATACCTTTGTCTTACAAATATTGACTGACTGTGGGCTCTATCCTGCTTTTATTTCCTCCCTGCTGTCTTTTTCTGGTTTAGGACCAATGTACCATTAAAAAATACTTTGTATTCAGGCATTGCCAATATACGAATGACCATCATTCTTCCCTCGTAGGTCACTTACAGGTCACGTTCACACCCTTTGTTGTATTTATCTCTGAATAACCTTGAATTACTTTCAAAATAACTCAGGCCTAATAGTACTTGGCCTGATTCACAGCACACATTGAGTTTTTCTGAATGGTTTTGTCACTGTCCTTAAACATTGAAACAAAGCATAAACAGGCCTTTTGGTGGTTAAAGCATCTTTTTTTTTTCCTTCTCTTTGAATTTGTCTGATTGTCATCACTCCCTGACGATGGGGGATTGTAGGATGCCATCTTTCTTCCTGAGTAGTTTGCTGAATTAAAAAATTATAATCTATTTATTAAAAAATAGATTAAATTGTAATCTATTTAATAAAAAAAATAATAAAAAACACCAAAAAAAAACCACCCCAAAAACAAAACCACAAAAAGAAGCAAGTTGCTGTTTTAGAATTGCAGGGTTAACGGTGAACCTGGATCAGGTAGTTAAGGGCTTTGTCTGGTTGGGTCTTGAAAACTTCCCTGGGCAGTTAATGATAGGTATGGATATTTAACTGTGTTATTTTAGAAGGGGAAAGTTTGGGAATGTTATGCTTTTCCTTAAAGAAATTCAAGCCTTTTGAGCGATTTAGTCAGGACCAACTCTCCATCCTCCCTGGCAAGAGGATTGGCAAGAGGAGTTTCCAGTGAGTTCTGGGGTTGTTTCAGTGCACCCGAAGGGACGGGTGTTACAAAAGGCTTCCAGAAGTGTGACTCTTGCTCAGCTTTTAAGGACTTCTCTTGGTTTCATTTCTCACCTCCCTTTTGTGTGTGTGTGCTGCCGGGGGTAATCACTGCCGCTCCGAGACTCTCCAGGGAAGCAGGATTTATTGTCCAGCTCAGCTGGAGATTATTTATTTTGATTAACAAGGCTAAAGAGAACAATATTTGCCACATAGATCAATAAGTAATCTCCTTTGGAGGTACTTTTATAAGAGGGGCAGATTTTGATTGCTCAGTTATAGCAATATTGACTTGGGAACAGTGCATTTTCTTGTGACTGTTGTTTACTATTTTTGCTGCAGGAACCAGCAGCGAGAGCGAAGAGGAGATCGTTTTCCAGAGAAAAAATAGGAAAAAAAAGAATGTTTTGAAGTCTCCTGATGTGAGTCACAGAAAAAAAGGAAAAATAACAAACTGAAAAAGATGAGGAGCGAAGTGGCAAGTCAAACAGCACGACCAGTCGAAGACTGTGAGAATGACATCTCTGAAGAAGATATAAATACTGATAATACCAGAGAATCTGGTGGCACCTGGGGGGGTTGTGCAGGTGGTACATCCACCGAAGAGAAAACACAATCACTGACCGATACCTCCAGACTCGAAACATCACCCAAGTGGGATTGCAGAAGCCTGGAGAGAAGAGCTGTTTCCACACCCCTGGGGTTCCAGAGGAGCAGTGTTGGTGCCAGAGAGGGGGCTGAGGCTGCTGCTGCTGCAGGGCCTTCCTCGGAGCAGGGAGCCAGGAGAACGGGAAGGGGCTCACCTGAACCTTTGGCTTCTGCACTTTCCACCCCTACAAGCAGAAAGGCTAGGAATAGTGAAGTTATCAGAAGAATTCCTATCAATGTCTTCTCTAGTGCCAGGGAGGAAATTCCCAAGATGACTCTTGCAGAGCATAGCCCACGTGGGCAGAACTTTGGGAGTTCAGCCATGGATGTACTTGGCTCCCCTTTAGGAAGAGCCAAAACCCTGGAAGACACCAACCATCATAGTTCACGTGTGTGTCCTGCTGCAGGTAGGGATTCCAGTGTACAGTTACTTCATACCTTTGTCTTACAAATATTGACTGACTGTGGGCTCTATCCTGCTTTTATTTCCTCCCTGCTGTCTTTTTCTGGTTTAGGACCAATGTACCATTAAAAAATACTTTGTATTCAGGCATTGCCAATATACGAATGACCATCATTCTTCCCTCGTAGGTCACTTACAGGTCACGTTCACACCCTTTGTTGTATTTATCTCTGAATAACCTTGAATTACTTTCAAAATAACTCAGGCCTAATAGTACTTGGCCTGATTCACAGCACACATTGAGTTTTTCTGAATGGTTTTGTCACTGTCCTTAAACATTGAAACAAAGCATAAACAGGCCTTTTGGTGGTTAAAGCATCTTTTTTTTTTCCTTCTCTTTGAATTTGTCTGATTGTCATCACTCCCTGACGATGGGGGATTGTAGGATGCCATCTTTCTTCCTGAGTAGTTTGCTGAATTAAAAAATTATAATCTATTTATTAAAAAATAGATTAAATTGTAATCTATTTAATAAAAAAAATAATAAAAAACACCAAAAAAAAACCACCCCAAAAACAAAACCACAAAAAGAAGCAAGTTGCTGTTTTAGAATTGCAGGGTTAACGGTGAACCTGGATCAGGTAGTTAAGGGCTTTGTCTGGTTGGGTCTTGAAAACTTCCCTGGGCAGTTAATGATAGGTATGGATATTTAACTGTGTTATTTTAGAAGGGGAAAGTTTGGGAATGTTATGCTTTTCCTTAAAGAAATTCAAGCCTTTTGAGCGATTTAGTCAGGACCAACTCTCCATCCTCCCTGGCAAGAGGATTGGCAAGAGGAGTTTCCAGTGAGTTCTGGGGTTGTTTCAGTGCACCCGAAGGGACGGGTGTTACAAAAGGCTTCCAGAAGTGTGACTCTTGCTCAGCTTTTAAGGACTTCTCTTGGTTTCATTTCTCACCTCCCTTTTGTGTGTGTGTGCTGCCGGGGGTAATCACTGCCGCTCCGAGACTCTCCAGGGAAGCAGGATTTATTGTCCAGCTCAGCTGGAGATTATTTATTTTGAACTTTGGGAGTTCAGCCATGGATGTACTTGGCTCCCCTTTAGGAAGAGCCAAAACCCTGGAAGACACCAACCATCGTAGTTCACGTGTGTCTCCTGCTGCAGGTAGGGATTCCAGTGTACAGTTACTTCATACCTTTGTCTTACAAATATTGACTGACTGTGGGCTCTATCCTGCTTTTATTTCCTCCCTGCTGTCTTTTTCTGGTTTAGGACCAATGTACCATTAAAAAATACTTTGTATTCAGGCATTGCCAATATACGAATGACCATCATTCTTCCCTCGTAGGTCACTTAGAGGTCACGTTCACACCCTTTGTTGTATTTATCTCTGAATAACCTTGAATTGCTTTCAAAATAACTCAGGCCTAATAGTACTTGGCCTGATTTACAGCACACGTTTAGTTTTTCTGAATGGTTTTGTCACTGTCCTTAAACATTGAAACAAAGCATAAACAGGCCTTTTGGTGGTTAAAGCATCTTTTTTTTTTCCTTCTCTTTGAATTTGTCTGATTGTCATCACTCCCTGACGATGGGGGATTGTAGGATGCCATCTTTCTTCCTGAGTAGTTTGCTGAATTAAAAAATTATAATCTATTTATTAAAAAATAGATTAAATTGTAATCTATTTAATAAAAAAAATAATAAAAAACACCAAAAAAAAACCACCCCAAAAACAAAACCACAAAAAGAAGCAAGTTGCTGTTTTAGAATTGCAGGGTTAACGGTGAACCTGGATCAGGTAGTTAAGGGCTTTGTCTGGTTGGGTCTTGAAAACTTCCCTGGGCAGTTAATGATAGGTATGGATATTTAACTGTGTTATTTTAGAAGGGGAAAGTTTGGGAATGTTATGCTTTTCCTTAAAGAAATTCAAGCCTTTTGAGCGATTTAGTCAGGACCAACTCTCCATCCTCCCTGGCAAGAGGATTGGCAAGAGGAGTTTCCAGTGAGTTCTGGGGTTGTTTCAGTGCACCCGAAGGGACGGGTGTTACAAAAGGCTTCCAGAAGTGTGACTCTTGCTCAGCTTTTAAGGACTTCTCTTGGTTTCATTTCTCACCTCCCTTTTGTGTGTGTGTGCTGCCGGGGGTAATCACTGCCGCTCCGAGACTCTCCAGGGAAGCAGGATTTATTGTCCAGCTCAGCTGGAGATTATTTATTTTGATTAACAAGGCTAAAGAGAACAATATTTGCCACATAGATCAATAAGTAATCTCCTTTGGAGGTACTTTTATAAGAGGGGCAGATTTTGATTGCTCAGTTATAGCAATATTGACTTGGGAACAGTGCATTTTCTTGTGACTGTTGTTTACTATTTTTGCTGCAGGAACCAGCAGCGAAAGCGAAGAGGAGATCGTTTTCCAGAGAAAAAATAGGAAAAAAAAGAATGTTTTGAAGTCTCCTGATGTGAGTCACAGAAAAAAAGGAAAAATAACAAACTGAAAAAGATGAGGAGCGAAGTGGCAAGTCAAACAGCACGACCAGGCTGCCCGTTGCAGTGACCCTTGTTTGTGTTTCCCCAGGGGCTGAGTGAGAGTGACTTGGAGTCGCCGATTCCTGCCGTCAGAAAGCGCCGACACCCCCTTAACGTGGTCAGTGCCTGCTCCAGTGAGAAATAGTGCAACTCCTTTATGGAGTGTATAGCTAAACATTTGCTCTTTCTCCAGTCAGTAGGCCATTGTTCTTATTAAAAATATTTGATGCCATCTGACCCAAGGCCTATTAGAATGGAATTGCTTTCCTGCCTTCAGCTCTTCCCTGAGGTCTCCAGGGATGACTTTGGAGTTGGTGTTTGGCAGCGAAGCGCTGGGATAGGAGAGCTGAGCCTCTCCCTTTGTGAAAGGCACTACAAGAACCTTTCTTCCACAAAGCTTCAAAGCAAAAAAAAAAAAAAAAAAAAAGTCACATTTGACCTGATTTTTCTTTCAAAGAATGTTTTTTCTGTTCCTTTTGTATTTAAGAAGATGATTTGCATTATTGTGTTATTTTGCCAGAGCAAATCCATCACAAAAATCGGGTGTTGCTTGAAAACCTGCAGACATTGAAGGGTGATGGTATAATTAAGATATTGGTTGCTTTAGTCTTATTTATTGAAGTGTTGGTGAAATGTTCCTCTAGTCAGATGTGTCCAGTGACGAGAGTGTGGATTTTCGCAAGGCCTCAAGCAGGCCCAGGAGCAGCAGCTCAGCCCGGAACCAAAACCAGCTGAGAAGCACAAAGCGGCAGAAGGTGAAGAGCAATTTTTCATACAAGGTATGTAAACACAAAACCCAAAAAAGAGGCAAAAAGAGACTTTGTGAGATGCTACTTTCTGTTCAAACCGCAAGAGTGAACTGAAAGTGTTTTGTAATTTGTCCGTATTGAAATTTTATAAAACCACGAAAATGCCAGAATTCTTGAGCACTGGTCTCACATACTTAGGACAAAAATTCCCTGTGCCATTGAGTCGCTCATGCTGGAGCTTGTGTGTGTTTTATGGCCTAAAAGATGGAGCTTCTGTCTATTCTCTGGCCTTTGTAGGATCTCACACTACGGCTGTGTTGTGGTAGGCAGGCAGTGGGACAGCTGGTTTTGAGACTGTTCAGGCGGATTGAGGCTTAGAGCTATTTCACACGAGTTCATTGCAAACATTTGAGATGGAGTCTTGTAACAACTGGATAATGATCTGAACCCTCACACCTGCTGCCTGACTTCCAGAGGAGTCTGCAGGGCCCTGCATAACAATGTTCTGAAGCAAAATACCGATTTTCAGTAGAAGATACTCCGGGGTTACCCAGACTCGGGCAGCCCAGGTTCTCCTCCAGGACTCAGCTGGTAGGATACTTGGTCGTATGAATTTACCACCTACTCTACTGGTTTCAACTCTGGACGTATTAAGACAGCAGTAGTCCCTCAATCCCAAATCTTAAATCTTAGCTTTGTATTTTACACTTTAATCTGTCAGGAATGGATGCAGGAGAGGATACGGGGTCAGAATGATATATTCATAGTAAGTTAAAAAGCTTTGAAATACATGTGGATGGCTTGGCAGAAAATACTGTAATCAGGGCTCCAGAGGCACAATATGTTGGATATTTTTAATGTTTTACAGATAATCTTCATTATGGAGACTTCCCTAAAGTATCAGTGATGAAAAATCCATTTTTCCATTTTATTTAAATATGGGGGATTTTTTATGTGAGACCAAAAGGTTCCTGGAAAGAGAGTGTGTATCCTTATGACATTCCACTCTGCCTTCATTCATTCCACTCTGCGTTTCAGAATGAGCAAACTCTTTGAGAAAAGGAACTATTAATACTGCCTGTCAGTCAGGATCACTAATTGGTGTAAGCAAATAATTAAAGGACTTAGGAAAAATTGAAAATCAGAGATGTCACTTATTTTAGCTCAAGATCCCTTGTCTGCCATGTACTGAACAACAATTTACAGCTTTGTGCTTTTCATTCAAAGCATTTTGAAGGCAGATGAGTCTTTCTTTTGGAGCAATTGGGACACATAATGTTTTTTGGGTTCTTTTCACATTTTACTTTAGTACTTTATCGCCTAAATGATAAGAGAAAAAGTTAGCTTAATACAAAGTAGCTCTGACGAGATATATTTTCCTGAACTCATTTGTTTTGTTTCCATGCATATCCATGTGAATGTTTAGTTGTCTGGTTTTGATGGAACTTGGCAGCAAGGTTTGAATCGTGTCCCCTGGACTGCAGTCACCTGGGAAGTGCCTCATCCTCCCCCAAAGATGGGCATTTCCTCAATAACGAGTTGCGTTGTCTGATGAATTCATCAAACAATCCCAAGTCCTACACAGATAAAGGGCAAACCAGGGTGAAGGCTGGATTTGAAGTTTCCAGTGGCTTTGTGTTCAATGATCCAGCTCTTCAAAATGAGAGCAGACCTTTGAAAGCAAATAAAATGAGTAAAAGTAGGTTTATAAATTAAAAACAATATATTTGTGGGTAGCTTAGCTACCACGTGTTAGTAGTCTGTGCCTGTAGCACTGACTGCTGCAGTGTGGGCAGTGCTCCACAGTGGGCACCTCTGCCAGCAGCTGAACCCACACCAGCTTCACCCTCTGTGCTGGTGGGACACACACTTGTGTGCTGTCACGTATTTCACTGAATTTCGGGTTCTTTACACCCCCTTTTCCTGGAGAGGATTCTCTTTTCAGAGCCAGAAGGCCAATATCCATGCCCATTTGAGCAGCTGAAGTTCTGAAGTCAGGAACTGATGTAACTGGAGGTCTCATACGTGATGTTAGTTAATTGGGAGCCAGCTCCTGATGAAAATTTAATTTGGAATTTTTCCTCTTTAAGCATGCAGGAAGGCAGTTTTTAGACGAAGAAGCTGAGCTGTCCCAGCAGGAGGCAGAAGGGGTTTCATCTGACGAGAGCGATGGCACAGAGAAGGAGCTGAGCTCTTCCATGGTTCAGTTCCTGAACGATGAGATGGAGGTCACCCAGGTGTTGGACGGTGAGTGAGGAGGTGGGGGGTTCAAGGTGTGGGGTGTCACACAGCAAATGGTGTGTAAGAGGCACGGCCACTCGGTCAGCGTGTCTCAGCTACACAGCAGTAACCTCCTTTCTGCTTTTGTTATTCTGGTATTAGGTATTTATTAGAAAAGCTGTCTGGCTTTATTTATGGCCGTGCCACAGCTCTGGGCGGGCTGGAGCCAGCTCTTGGAGGGTTGTGGGGGCAGGAGGTCGTCTCTTGCCAAGAGTCAACCACCCCCTCTTACACATTATAACAGAACAGAAACACAATTTCCTATTTCGTTTAGAAATTTCTGAATCTTTCAGGTCTTCTGTTACAAAGAGACTTAAAATATGGTACAAAATAACAATTTGAAAGTTAGAGATAAAATTTCTGACAGAGCTGAGAGGGTAATGCTGGTTTTTGGCCAAGATGGTTTCCTTACCCCTTTGCTTGCATTATAACAGAAACACAATTTCCTATTTCACTTAGAAATTTCTGAATCTTTCAGGTCTTCTGTTACAAAGAGACTTAAAATATGGTACAAAATAACAATTTGAAAGTTAGAGATAAAATTTCTGACAGAGCTGAGAGGGTAATGCTGGTTTTTGGCCAAGATGGTTTCCTTACCCCTTTGCTTACGAACCTAGACCTTCCCTGCGGTGTGTGCAGGAGGGAATCCTCCTCCTACTACTTAAGACTCCCAGATATTGCTGAGGAATTTCTTTCTCTGCTGGAATTGTGAGTTGTTCCCTGTAAGATCCCATGAGGCTTCAGTAAACCCACCCCGTTCTCAGACAGAAATCATTGTGTCTGCTTTGGGGGAGACTTGCAACAGGGAAATCTGAAGGGTTTGTGTTTGCTGGTGTTAATGTTGCCCTTCTCCCTGCTCCGGGCCTCGTGAGCCCTGCTCTGCCTGCTCTGAGGACCTTCCATGGCAAGCTGGTACATCTAGTCCTTGACTTCGGGGTGTTCAGAGGTGTCTGGAGAACCTCAAATTGTTGTTTTCATAGAATCACAGAGTGGTTTGGGTGGGAAGGGACCTTAAAGCCCACCCAGTGCCACCCCCTGCCCTGGGCAGGGACACCTCCCACCAGACCAGGTTGCTCCAAGCCCCCTCCAACCTGGCCTTGAACCCCTCCAGGGATGGGGCAGCCACAGCTTCTCTGGGGAACCTGGGCCAGGCTCTTACCATCCTCACAGCAAACAAGTTCTTCCCCACATCTCAGCTCCATCTCCCCTCTTTCAGTGTCAAACCCTTCCCCCTCATCCTATGGCTCCCCTCCCTGATCCAGAGTCCC